AGAGAGAGAGAGAGAGAGAGAGAGAGAGAGAGAGAGAGAGAGGAGGGAGAGGGAGAGGGAGAGGGAGGGAGGGAGACAAAGAGGGGAGGGGGTTACAACTGGGAGCCGGCCGCCAGGGGGCCACCCCAAGCCCTGCGGAGGCCCCGACGAGTTGGGCTTGTTGTCGGGTGGGGTTCCACCCCGCCCCCTTTTTTTACGTTCTCACCAACGAGCAAGGGTTTATTACGCCAATTGTTAGCCTCGTGGGATTATTCGGGGAGCAGCAGAGGAACGCTGCGCCCGTCGTCATGGTCATTGCACTGTAAAAAATTTAGGGAGCAATTTTACCCCTCATCGGGCCATAACGGCCAGAAGCTCCAATTGGATATGTAATTTTCAATATCCATGGGTGGGTAAATTTACCTCGTCGTTCGATAGGTAAAATTCTCTACCCAAATGGTGTAAATTTGTCCTCCGCTGTAAGGTAAAATAACTCCAATGGTGGCTAATTCACGAATACCAACCCACGGGGTGAAAATGGTCCTGAAGGGTGTCGTGGAGTTTGTGAATGGAAAAGAGCGACCCATTCCCCATCATATATAGTCCACTACATCAAATCGTTCTTTTACCACCTTAACTTACCGGGAGTTGAACCCCTGACTTCGGGATGAACAGACGCGCCTCTAACCACCCGGCTACCGGTACAGCCTGGCGGGGGTCGTGCTGGATCTTAGTGTCCTTCCTCCGACGCATCCAGGGACCTCTGAGTTCTATTTTACCCCTTGTGGGTTTGCAAACTTGTTTTATCTACTCTAAGGGGAAATTAACTTGTAAAGTATTGGTGTAAATTTTGCCCTTGTGGGTGTTAAAAACACACGTTTCCACCCGCAAGGGGAAATTTACTATACCACTGTAGATTGAATGTTTTAGTCACGGAGTATCATAGATGGAGCCTCGGCTACCCTGAACGGAATGGCTCCCAAACATGTCCGGGTTCAGTAGCTTGCAACTCTTGCCACTTGGCGCTTTCGTCGCTATGGCACCACATAGCCCTGCAGCTAACGAAGCCATGGCGGCACTAGCGCCTACCTAGTGGCGACTTTTGACAACTCCAGAACACGGACGTGAGCCGGGCCCCGCTTTCATTCGCTGAAATACGGCAGCCGAGGCTCCATCTATGTTACTCCGTGGTTTTAGTCACTGCCCAACAGAGTAATTTTGTATCACCATAATACATGGAAATTTGAACTCTATAGAGGAAATTAACGTTTTAGACACCCAGTGGGTAGGTAAAATAGGAAAAACAACCCAGAGGTAGAAGATTACTTGGCACATAGGTGGGTAAAATTGTCCTGGATTTTTTACAGTGTGTCACAGCTATTCAAGTGGCGCACTCGGCAAAGTGCGTCCGACACACGTCATTCTGCAGAAAACAATTTTACGCCGCGGCGCAGACCTTCATGAGCGACCAAGCAGGGGGTTTAATTTAGATTGCACTCCAGGCGCCTCTCTGTAATGCCCTTATGTTGCGCGACAAGACAATAACCGTGCGGCCAGCGCCGGGCCGGGCCTATAGCGATATATCGCCTCCCGTCTGGTGGGTAACTCAACTAGGGGCCCGTGGAGGTTGACGGCATGACACCCCGCCCGCCCGGCGTGATGCGAGCGTGATGAGCTTGCGGCGTGCGGCGTGGCGTGGTGTAGAGTGGCGGGGCGTTGCGGGGAGTGGCGGGGCCTCCAGGAGTACATCGACGCCAGCCACATGGTCCCGGCGCCCCCTGGCTCCCGGCCGCTTCATCCCAATGAGAGCGCCATCAAGACTGCGGCCGCCGCCGCCGTCGCCGCCGCGCCGGGGCCGGGGCTTGTCACTGTTG